GCTCACTTCTTATCAGCTTGCAGTCTATATCATGAAAGTTTTCTGACTGATTGGTTGAACAATGGCCTTCTTTGCCTGTGATATTTATTATCCAACTATTTTTAAAGATGGTGAAATTTTGGTAGTCTTCTTATTTAGTTATTTCTCTATCACCCCAAATGGAGTAGGTAGTGAAATTAATTCCTTAATCAGACATGTATACATAGTCATTTATTTTTTTTTTTTTTTTTGAGGTAGGACCAGAATTAATCTCACATAAAGCATGGTGAGTCCTGCCTGACAAAGTATGTCACCGTTTTGACACCCAAAGGAGACACTCGTGATAATCCAAGTATACAAAGATTTTTTTTTTTTTTTATTCAGACCCCATCCTAGCCATATATATATATATATATATATATATATATATATATATATACACACACACACACATCTTATATCTATATGAATAAACACGAAATTGGAGCTCAATTCTCCCAAGAATTCTGAGGTTAAAAATGTTCCAACTGTACTTTATAGTAATTTGGTATTTACTCGACTCCAAACAGGTTGGTATTTAAGCTAGCTCCTGCGGAGGGCTCTTAATTAAACCATCATCACAATAAGTAGAGAGGAGTAGATAGGCAACAAAATTGATCACTGCATTTAAGTATTGCATTAATATTTAAGCTTACCTTTTAAAAGTTCAATAATAATTTGTCTTCTGCCACTTAATTTAAAGACAATTTGATGTATGGAGGTCCTAACTTTCCATACAAACAATTTTATTTCATGGGTGACACAATTAATTCTGATTATTCCCAAATTTATTTCTGTATTTTTATATTAATCATTTGATGTTGTCTAATTAGTTTCTTGATATTGAAATGAAATCCATCAAACTACAGCACCTTCCTTGATGGATTTCATGTCAATATCAAGAAACTAATTAGACAACATCAAATGATTAATATAAAAATAAGTAGATACAATATGTCTATATTATTCAACAATATATAAGGCAACAAAATCAGCAAAAATCAGCAAATAAAGACATATACACTGTATATGAAATATCTGTCTATATTTCTGTAATGAGGTATTGTAATTATTTACATTGTTCAGACTATCTTCATCTTTATTGACATGTTCATAACATCATGAACATTACAATAAAGCTGACGACAACAGTCTGAACAATGTAAATAATTGCATATGAAATATAGTAAAAACAAAAATAAAAAAGCAAATATATCATATCTGAGAGAGTAAAGACTGAAAAGTATAATGAACAATATACACACATACATATACACACATATATACATATATATAGTGCGATGGGTAAATTTTCTTTATATTTTATTTTATTTTTTGGTTAGCCATTCCAAAGCAGCAAACAATAATAATACCAACTTATGTAATTGTAGAACTCCTAATGACTGTCCATTACAAAATAGGTGTCAAACTGATTCCCTTGTTTACCTAAGTACTATTTCATCTAGAGAAAATCCAACAGTTAAAAAATTTTTTATCGGCAGTACCAAAAATTCCTTGTGGTATCAACATATATTATCTTTCATCAATAGACCATCCCTTTCTAAATATTTTGATACTTAAAAGAAGTTAACAAAACTCCTACAGTAAAATGGAAAATATTAAAAAAAAAAAAAAAAAAAAAAAGACTCCTAAATCCTTATATGTTCTATGTTCCCTGTGTTTACAAGAAAAATTACATATTATAAAGTTTGCTAACAGAAAAGCTCTGTTAAACCAAAGAAATGAATTAACGGTGTTATGCTGGCATTGTCTATTAAAATATAGTTCAAAAAAATCTTTCATAAATAATTACATATTACAATTTTATAGACATTTTATTACTATATATTGGTCCACCCAAAATGAGTACTTCATTTATTTGATTTATTCAACTTTAATATTGCCATGTTTTGTCATCTATTCAGTATTATTAGCATCATATATAGATGTTCCACATCTTAATTATATCAATTGACCCTTTTAAGAAAATTCCTGAATAAAAAAAAAAAAATTTTAAATTTGTTTCTGATTACTTTATGTCTACTTCAACAAATCAGAACATCATACTTGGCTACATTTATAATACATCTGTCGCTGCTATGATTGTTGGAGGACATGTCCAAGCGCTAGTTTGTCGTAACATGAAAAAATAACCCGCCCATCTCAACCCTCTGACCTTATTTTTCAATTTTAGTGTAGATCTGACTTAATTGGTTAATCAAGACATACCCACAAATATGTTTTTAATTCTGATCTTATACCCAGCCCACATAACCTCTGGAAAAAAAAAAAGTAACAATTTGTTTTTAAATTTCCCTAATAAATCATTTTTATCACAAGATATCTACCATCGCCTTGAGAAGTAAAATCATAGTATTGAAACATAAAAGCTTTTGTGTAGCGATGTAAAATGTTTTTACTATAATCTGTTATAATAAAAATATATTATTTTGCTCTACTTTGTATTGAGCACTTTTTTTAAAAGTAAATAGTACGAACTGTGGATTTTTATTCTATATGTTCTTTCTCTTATTTGGATGTGTGTGTGTTTGTGTGTATATGTATGTATTACTTCAAATGTTATTATTTTGTATCTGAAATAAAAGTGTGTATCATGTTTATCTGCCTGCACGCTCAAGATATTTTCATTAAGAAAGTGTGTTCTCTGGTAGGGACTAAACCTCTATCCCCCTTTATAGAGGAAACCACCATTTGATCTGGCATGCATTACTGCTCAGCCATAAAGAGCGTTACAGTGAGCAAAGCTGTTTTTCTTGAGTGAAGGTGATGTGCTTTACTTAAAAAAGGAAAATAGAGCTGTGCTTACTCTGATGAACAGTAAAGCATACCAGATCAAACAGTGGTTTCTACTACAAAATGTGAACACATGTTCGATCCCTGCTGGAGAACAAATTCTGTGTGTGTGTGTGTGTGTGTGTGTGTGTAAATGCCCTCCTACAATCAGAATGTGGAGATTGGGGAGAGTAAACATCAATCTCCTCACTAAAGTAGGCCAACTTTTAAAATGCAGCAAAATTGGAAAAAAAGGGGAAAAGAGAAATTAAAGCATGTGAAGCAAAAGATGAATTTGAAAAAAAAAAGATGAGAGAAATCATTGGATTGGAAGATAAATGAAGAATCAATAACCAATAAAAAGTATTTTAAGCTTGGAAAGCTAAAGGTTAAAGAAAAACAAAAAGGTTTCGCTATTTCCAATGGCCAGAGATACTGAAAACAATATAAATATTATTATCTCAAAGTATGTGCATTTTGTTTTATTTTCATTGTTAATATTTTCAATGTTTTTAGCAGCCCTGGAGTTGGAAAGATACAAAAATGTCCAAATAAACAGTGACAGATTTTCTCCCAAAATGGATACAATTAAATATTCTCACCATTTTTACCAGAGAAAGAAGTCTAAAAGAAAAAAAGTCCAAACAAAAACAAGCAAAATGTTAAAATGTGTATGGAATTTTATTAACTGCAATATTAAAAAAATAATAAGAAAAAAGAAAACACACAAGAAATAAGAAAGAGGAAGGGAGACAAGTGGGAGATAAGATAGGAGGAGGTAGCAACACATAGAGGTGAATGAGAGGAGACACTACAATGACAAGGAGGAAAGAGGAGGATGGCGGGAGAGGAGGAAAGAGGAGGATGGCGGGAGAGGAGGAAAGAGGAGGATGGCGGGAGAGGAGGAAAGAGGAGGATGGCGGGAGAGGAGGAAAGAGGAGGATGGCGGGAGAGGAGGAAAGAGGAGGAGGAGGAGGAAAGAGGAGGATGGCGGGAGAGGAGGAAAGAGGAGGATGGCGGGAGAGGAGGAAAGAGGAGGATGGAGGGAGGAGGAGGATGGTGGGGAGGAGGAAAGAGGAGGATGGCGGGAGAGGAGGAAAGAGGATGGCGGGAGAGGAGGAGGATGGCAGGAGAGGAGGAAAAGAGGAGGATGGCGGGAGAGGAGGAAAGGGAGAGGAGGAAAGAGGAGGATGGCAGGAGAGGAGGAAAGAGGAGGATGGCGGGGAGGAAGAGGGCAACAAGATGTGGCGAGGGGGAGTAGGAAGATTAGTTTTATAGCTGTCATAAAAAGGTATGAAAATGCTTTATCAATCTTGAACAGAAATTATACAAATGCAAATATGTTGTATAAACTTTTTAGTTTAAATATCTTCATTACTGCATCATCATTTGAAGTATTTTCCATTTTTGCCTACATTTTTTTCCTTTTAAATTAATCAAAGAATTCTGATAGTTATAAAAAATCAAAGAAAAATTTTAAAAAACTTAAGAGAAATCAAACAAGTGAGCTTGAAACAATGTAATTAAAATCTAAAATTAATTTATATTTAATTCATACAAGTGGATTAGATTCAATATTGTTAGTTGCATATCCTTGAGAAATCTGAAAGATTAATAAAAAGCGCCAATAAGGATAAAACTGAATTTGGAAACAATTTTCTATGATAGCAGAGGGTTGTTAGAAGAATGTGCAGAGCCGTTCCAACAATTTTACTTCAAAACATTTGTAGATTTGAAAAACTTACGTACATTGCCCAATTCCTTGCAGAAGTTTCATCAACATTATCTGATGAATCCAAAGTGTGAACAGATCTATACTTGTCCTTCACAAAATCAACAAATTTCTCCACATCTTTCTTATGGAAATCCACCTAGAAAAGAGATTATCAGATTATAATTCTAAATAAAAACAACATTTCTGTTATTTCAAAGTCTTCGTGAATTAATGATTTTGTCCGATTAGCCAAAGTCAACCAAGTATTAATAATTCACCTCTAACCTAGAATTTTATCATTATTGTTCTAATAATTTTGTTTTTGTTTGATAAATCCATTCCAAATACTTAATGAGCAAATGGAAACAGTGCTGGCCATTTTTTTTTTTTTTTGACCTTCTATTAAAGTAATTAAAACCAACACTTGAGTTAAAAAATATTAAAAAATCTGTCAAAAGAGCTATAACTCCATGTTTCAACTGCTAAATAAAAACTCATTTCTCTTTGAAAAAGGAAAAGAAAATAAAGGGAAAAAGAAAATAAAGGGAAAAAGAAAATAAAGGGAAAAAGAAAATAAAGGGAAAAAGAAAATAAAGGAAAAGAAAAAAATCAAAATCTATTATAAGTAATTTTATGAAAAAGTGTATTAGTGACTTTTTAAAAATACAAATTTATGAGCAGGTGCTGATAAGTTTTCTGCCTGACCAAGAATCCCTTTAAAAGATAAATTAAAATTGTGTGGACAAATTTTGGGAGGTGGTCTGAGAACATATCAGCACCGCTTTATAAATCTTCAAAATACTCAGAAAAAAGATTGGAATGTGACAAACTAGGCAGACATTTTGGACACATTTTTTTTTCTTTTCCATGGTAATTTCTATACATTTATATACCAGAGAATGTAAATAAATCCAAAAGACATGACTGTGCAGCTAGTCAGTATTTCACTTTATTGATAGATTTGTTTCTAATAGCTTATCAATTCTTTGCATGTTATTTAACACCAGAAAATATTTTTAGATTGTAAGTTTTTTTTTTTGAGTTGGAGGAATAATGATTTAGTGATACAAGTCTTACTAATTAACCCATAGCTGGAGGAAGAAGAGGTGAATTCATAACTTTTCCCAAGAGTATTTACACATAAATGAATATAATGAACCCAACAGGAATTAAAACTCTGCTCCCCGATTAACAATTCCAAGCCATTATCCATTACACCAGCCACACATCCAAGCTTACAGTATTCCTAAGCGGTCACCCATCTGTGTACTGACCAGGCACAACTTCAGTGAGTGTACAGGAACTGCTATAAGCCAAAGTGGAGATGACAGGAAGTTATGGTTGTGAGGATAAGAAGGATAAATAATATTTTACCCATGACTTGAAGAAGTCAAGATTGTAGTGTTCAGAGAAGTACCCATGTAAGAGACTGTTCCATAAAAAAGTTTAAAAAAACATGAAGGAAATGAGGGTGATTTAAATCTATGGAAGTGCCAATTGTAAAGGTTTCAACTAGAAACTAGACTACATAAACAGTTTTATGACCTATCAAAGCTTTAAAATGAAGATTTAACAGTTCCGATATGACAGCAATACTCTATATTTTGGTCTAATCTGACTCCTGTAAAATTAAAGTAGGCCAGAAGGAGTCAGGTACTTTCTGGAGCAATAGAATGAGATAAAACAGCTCCAGCCCAGATATTGCAGCAATAATCCATTTTTGGTCTAATCTGAATCTTGTAAAGATAAAGCATGCCAAAAGGAGTCAGGTACTTCTTGAAGTGATCCAATCATTTTTTTCTGAAATTTTAGGAATGGATTATTTATAGGAATTCCTCTTGATGACTGGAGTGAACTTGGAAATTAATATATGTCCAGCATGGATGGTATAATAGTTATTGGCTTGGAAAATAGAATTGGCTAGCAATTAGCAATTAAAATTTAATGTTCTTTTTGTACTCATTCCTTTTTAAAACTTGATATATTAGATTTTGTAATCCATAACATTTTAATAGCGTTTTTATTAGGCTATTAACAACTATAAATTAAATGGTGTTTTTATTAGGCTATTAGCAACTATACATTTTAATGATGTTTTTATTAGGCTACTAACAAATAGAATGATAAAGTTAAAAACATTTTAATTTTAAGATGACTTGAAATTTTGGTGGGGAAAACTAAAGTTGTTTTTCAGGATAGTTCCAGGATGATGGGGAAAAAAAAATTTAGTCTGGAGTCCAGTACCTGTTACATTAACATTTACAGGAGCCAATGTTGCATCAACAAACAAGTTAATATTTATATTATCAGTTTAGCAGAAATCAGAATCTACTTACAGAGTTGTGAATGAACAAATCAATGTTGGAAGTGGGATAGTTCATACGATAGACTTTTTCAAAGAATTCTTCTATAAATGGAACACTGCTCTCGACAAAGATTGCAATCATCACATTGGGATAATCTGGCAGCTGAAATGAAAAAGAATTTTCTTAAAAAGAAAATCAAGTTATGATAAAGAAATTATATATATTATTATAAATTAACTGATTTAAAATGTTTTTTTGCTACACAGTAATAAAATGGAAGTTAAAAACTTTAAATTTAATTATATAATTAAATTAAAAGCAGTTCCGTTTCATCTTCAAGCGAATATTGAATTAACTTATTTTTAAATTTACTGAATTTTAAACACACAAATTCATAATTTACCGTTTCCAAGGATACAGAGGAATCCAATCATTCAGACAGGGGTGGTAGTGTGTTCATTTTTATTAACTATTGTTGTATCAATTATGAGTTACGTTCGAAAAAGAGGTTAAGTTTAGGGAGGGTAGGGGTTTATTTTTCAATGAATTCTGACATCCGTTAAATGCATGTCGTCTGGGGTTTTTATTAACGGCAAAAAGTTTTTCGGCATTTTTTTTCCTGTATACTCAAAGATTTTTTATGTGTGTTTGTGTTAAAATACATTTTATTAAACTACAATTTAAAAATATTTTTAATCTTAATTACTAATAGACTATATTTCTTTTTAAAACCAAGTAAATGTAATAGAATTACTTACATTATTTAAAATATTTTTTTCTTATCAAATATATGTATATTACCAGCTCCTATTTTTTAATTTTATTTTTAAATTTATTTTTAAATATTAAAGGAAAATTTTTGACAATGACTGCAAAAAATATCTATTTCATTTCTCTGATTCAATAAATTTTTATTTTTTATAAACTTAGTAATATATAGTTTCTCATGTATGCACAAAGGACATGGGTCATCTAATGACCTACATATTCTAGCTTTTATTATTAATTTCCATTTTAATGTAGGTGTTTTATTGGATTCTTTTAATTACCAGAAATACTTTGAGAGCGATGTTTGATTTCTGTACTTATCTATCCTAAATGAAGTTTGATGTTGATTGAACCGCTTTTTGAACTCATGGCTTGTGCAACCTATATAGATTTTTATGCTTTCAGAGTTCTCAATAGATGAGATATTGCATTGGTATACTAATGATTCCATGTGACATTTATTTTGTAGAGGACAGTTATGAGGTTTTCTACAGTTACATAATTTTTGTTTATCTACATCTGGTTTTGTTTTTATATTGTCTAAATTTCTTTGGTTTTGGTCTAAGTGTTTATTAAAGATATTAGCATTATGTTTCGTAATTTTTTCTAAGTTTTCAGTACGGCTGTAACTTAATTTTAGTGTATTTTTTATTGAAAATAGTACTTAGTTTTCTTTCTCTAGGAAAGTGCTTAACTATTAATGCAAGGAATTTTTGTCCTAATTTGTTCTTTACCATTTGATTGTATGGGGGTGTATACCAAATTATTTTTCTACTTTTGTTTTTTCTATGATTTCCAGTTTCCTTTTTTATATAAGTTAGTTTTGGGTTTTTGTAACCGCTATCTTTTAGAGCTTTATTATAGAAATTAATATGTTCACAGAAAATCTTCTCATTTGCTGAATTTGTACTTATTCTTTTTCCAATAGATAATTATCTATAATTAAGCATATACCTTTATCTATCGGAAAAAGAATAAGTACAAATTCTTAAATTTAAAATTTTTAGCTTCCATTTTTGAAACATGGTTATTACTGTGTAACGAAAAACCATGTTTTAAATCATTTAATTTATAATAATTTATAATATTTATGCTCTGTAAATTTACATTGAGCACTGTTTTGTAAAAATAAAAAATAACAAGAACATCGGATTATATATCTTTCTGTTCTTTCTTTTTATTTATTTTTATATATATATATATATATATATATATATATATATATATATATTAATAAAGGTAAACCTTTGTAAAAGATTTGTCACTTAACTGATTAATGTTACTTTCAGCATCCCAATTCCAGAGTAAATTTGGTTGGTATGTGTATGAACTTTCATTTTTTCAGGAGGTTGTGAAGTTATAGTGTTTCTGGAGGGTGAATTGGTACTAGGGCTTGACATGACTAGCTGACTGATCAAATCAGGCCTCTGACTGCCCATCTAGCCTAAGCAAGGGCCAAAGTAGTGTGTGAGAATTCAGAAATATTCTACCAAATGCCTGAGGTCTTCAACTACCAGGATCCCGTCCTCAAGCATCCTGGGTCGCCACCCACAGCAAACAGGTAGCTTTATTGATGGTTGGGCGGTAGGGAGGGGATGGGGGGCAAGGCGCAGTCGGCATATTCTGAAGCTCCCAGCCGACAGGGCAGAGAAGATTTGGTTTACATTTGGAAAAAGTAATTGACAAAAATAGGCTAGATCTTCATGGAAATTTGATTAAGAAATAACACTAATAAATAATATCACCTTTGTGTCAGCCAGTGAAAGGACATTCTTGTTACAAGAAAGACATCCAGAAGACTTTGTCCAGCCATCAGCAAGGTAATTGGCAATGCGGTTAAACTCAGGCTGAAAAGACAATACAAAAAAAGAATCATAGGAAAAGTATAAAATTTTAGAAAAGTTAAAAAAAGAAAAAAAAAAGAAAAAAAAGATATGGTTATTTTCTTAGTGTATCTTAGATATGGTACAAGGCTGAAAGTATGGGGCGCCCAATGAGGATTGAACTCACTACTTGGTCATAATTGCTCTAGTGAGACAAGCTTGATAACCAAGCTGAAGTGCCCTGGCAATGGTATAGATGGTGATTTTCTAAGCATAGCTTAATGTCTTTCTTATATTTTTTCACACTTGGTAACTCCCTGCATGTTAGCGGCTTTGTTGCCTTGCTTGAGGTGAAATGATTTAAAAAAATAAAAAACAAATATAAAACAGTAGAGATACAAAAAAAGATTTGATTTTTATCCTCTAAATTATTCAAGGATATTATTTTCATCCTCGTTGTTTTTAGTTACTTTTAAGCTATTTTCTATTTTGATATTTCATTGATGCATATTTAATTTAGTTAGATTTTTATTATCTTTTATGGACCATTTCAGATTTGAGCAACAAAGTATCAATAAAATAGCCAAGTGAATTAAATTGTGGCATAGTAATTGTGAGTTCAATCCTTGGGCCAGGAATTGAGACTTAGATTCAAAGAAACAATTGCAACAATAACTGAACAATACAAAAAAAAACAAGACATCTCTGGACATGGACAGTGGGATGAATATACTTTATCCCCGCTATAGATTAAATAAAAGATTCAGTTCAAAATTCCCTGGGATCAACAGACATCTGAAGAAAACCGAAGAGCCCAATGGTGAAAATGTTGTGATAATAACAAAGATGAAGACATTGTCACCATTTTATATTTTTAATTTCACACATGCCCATTGTTTGTTTTTATCGACTTCACAGTATAACAGGGTCAGTTGGGCACCGTCTGTGAGAAAAAGACCGCCATGACACAATTCACTCTGCCAGAAATTTGGACACAGCATGTTGTACAGCTTGGCATTCACACCAGAAACGTCAATATGAACATTTCAGAGTGTTTGGGTGTCAATCTAAGGATGGTGCACAGGATTCGGAAAGAGTTGGAAGAGTCTAATGGTGATTATGAAAGTGTTTAGAGTAATCACTTGTGATAATGACATTATGTCTCCATTAATCTTACTCCAGGGCCTCAGACTCAACACGGAGGCCTACATCAAGTGTCTTGAGGAGGTAGTGCTGCCCTGGGTCACGAGGGTGGCTACTGGAAGAAATTATGTCTAGTAACAAGACTCTGCACCATGCCACACAAGCAAGAGAACCCAGTCATAGCTGTCAGACAATTTCTGCAACCATATAACTCCTAACATTTGGCCACCTAACTCTCCAGGCTGCAACCTCCTTGATTATTATGCATGGGGCACAGTTGAGTGAGAGACTAACAAAACTCTTTGTAATACCAAACATGAACTGAAGGCAAGGAATATGGTAGCATTCACCAACTTAAACAAGGAAACCATCCAGAAGAGTTGCAGGAGATTCTGAAGTTGTCTGTAAGCCATGGTTGAAACCAATGGTGATTTCATTGAATAAATTTACTCTTTAGTATTTCCAAATATTTTTGCGTAATTTTGGTAAATATATTTGTTAAAATGAGGTCAGTGTTATTTTAATTATTGCGTAATTTAAATGACAATCTATCCATCGCACCATATATATATACACACACACAGGGTGATTGAAAAGCAATGCCCCATTTTAAAATATTTATACAGTGTTACTTCAAGTTAAGTAATTTTCAAAGATAAATCAGTTTTTCTTAAATATTATATGGAAAAATAAAACTTAGGTCATTTTTCTTGAGTTTACATCGGCTGTTAAAAATATTAGAAACATCCAAACACTAAAATAACAATAAACACATGTAAAATCATATTTAAATAAATTGAAAAATAATATTATATATAATATTATACTATATATATATATATATATATATATATATATATATAATAAAATCATCATAAACAAAAATTAGCATAAAGTATGTTCAACAAATATTCTTATTTCAAATTCCTGACAACAGGCAGCACTCATGTGTGGTTTTCTGTTCTAACACACATTTTGAATTCAGACTTGTTTACATCTGTGCTCTGCCATTGACGTTCTTTCAATTACATTTCAGTTGTGATTTAGAATGCATTTTTGCCCATGGCCCCAAAGAAAAGTCCCAGTGCAAGTGCTAAGCATAAGGCTATATCGCTGAAAGATAAGGTGGAAATTAACTATTTTATTCAGAATACTGTACATACATATCATAAATACTGTAATAGCCAATGGGGAGTGCTTATTTGCAGTTTATAGAGTGGTTATTTCGACTTAAGTCATTTTTCGACCTAAGTCGTGACCTCTGGAACCAATTAACAACGTAGGGCGAGGTATACCTGTAATTAATTTGTTAACTATAATTTTCACAAGAAATGTATATGAGAGGAAAGCGTTTCACATGAGGTTTTATTTAAAATTCAATATGGGCATCAGATTTGGATACCAGCTTCTTGTGTCACCTAGGAATTATGTCAACTGAATTCATCAGGAACTCTTGTGGTATGGAAGACATAATTTCTTGTATTCGCCCTTCAAGTTCTTCCAAAGTCTTGGTTTGGTATAGGAGACTTGCTCCTTTAAACAACCCCAAAGAAAAAAAAAACAAGGGGTTAAGTCAGGACTTCTGGCTGGCCACTCATACATAAAATAGGGAGTTACTTTTCAATCACCATATATATATATATATATATATATATATATATATATATATATATATATATACACATATATATATATATATATATATATATATATATATATAATTCACAATTCTTTAGGAGGTGAGGAACCACTGATAGTATTTTATCATCAGTCACAGAAAGCGTTTTATTATTTAGCAATTTGGATAAGTGTTATGATCTTAAAATTTGGCTGTTTTCTTTGTTCTATTTTAGATTAATATTTATTAAGTTTTACTTAGTCTGGTAAAAGGCCACAATATTAGTACACTTAATGAGGATTTAATATACAAACAACACTAGCTTATTAATCTCCACCCTATGGTAAAAATTCCTAGTATTTACTGACTATATGGAATTAAACCTATCTGAGGATATTTAGTATATCTCTTCATAGACAGCTCTTTATTATCCTTTCTCAGTTTGTCATGTTTTCATAGCTACAATAATAAAGCATCTGCTCAAATAAATACCAAAATATCATTTTGATTCTTTTATAGCCCTCAGTGTAATAAAAGAAATAAACTTTTTTTTTTATACTAAAATTCACTGCTACCTTGGATATTTGGACCCTTATATAATACATTTTATGTTTTTGCTAGAGTTACTATCATAAATTGCCATGTACGACAATGTGCTTTAATTTGGTAAATAAACTAAAATTTATTAAGCTATAAAAAAAAAAAAATTATGCTAATGTCCCCAAGTTTGTTTTCTTCTCTATCATTCCATGTGACACATTTATTTTCTTTTTTTCTTTTTTAAATGAATTTATCCCAAGCAAGTTGATAATGTCACTAAGACACAAGGGCTAGTGGAAGTGAAAGAGAAGGAGAAGGAAAAGACTTAAGGAAATGGAAACCCAATCCTAAACAGAAAACAAGGGATGGAGCCCTACTCCTGTACAAAAGGCTGTGGAGGAGTGCAAACTGGACATAAATTTATACTTGATGGCCATTTTTACAGTTTTTTTTTTACTTTAAAACAACTCAACCAAGGGAGAAATAACACTGAGAATAACTATGTGGATATAGCTGTTTATATTACCTTAAATAAAACTATGGAATGGACATACAAAGGCAAGTACACAAGATGCATATGTGCGTCATGTGACAGTAAACGTGTTAATTTGGTCATAGATTCAGAATGACCTGTCCAGAATTAATTTTATTATATGACCAACAGTTTTTATGAACAGTATAACCATATCAATTACAAAAACACTTTGAATTTCATCATTTAATCATTCACAAATTAAACATGGTGAGGTGGGTAGATGAGTATTTGTTGTGAATACCATGGACAGAAACAAGGAACTTTTAAGAATAGGAAAACAAAGAAAATGTTAACAAGCAGAAGGAGAATGATTAAATTTTTGAAACACATGAGGAAAGAAAGCTCAGAGAATTTAACATCAAAAGGCATATTTCAGTAACCTACTTAACAAGTTTGAGCAAAATGAATAGAAGAACATGTACAACAAAGAAAGGTCATATTGTCAGAACCAACAAAAAGGATGGGAAGCTGTGGAGAACAATAATCGCCCACGTCTTGAAGGTACATGACATATACACAGAGATATGGGTGCTTAAAATACTTGACCAAATTGAATGTTCCTGTTTCACATCGATTTAATTCATTCTTTGACAGAATTCAACAATTGCTCGTCTTACAGACAATATCATTGATGAAAAATCCTTTCAGGACATGTCAACTTTTTTTCCAATTACAAACAAAAATATATTTACTTACCTTGATTGGACCATTTCCATGAACAAGTGATGACACCTGCCTTGTTTTAACATTGTACATAAAACTGCGGTCACCTTTAAACTTAAGCATCACCTCACCTTTAAAAAGAAATAAAATTATTTTAATATTTCATTTTCTAAAGAGATTTAATTGAATCCATACAAAGCATCACATATATTACAAAAAACACATGAGGAAAGAAAGCTCAGAGAATTTAACACATAAAAGCATTACACATTTCCAGTCAATTTAAAAATTGATAACATTCACTGCTTCCTTTGATATTTAAGCCCTTACATAATGCCATCTACGTTTTTGCTAATTGCCATTAGAAATTGCAAAAAGTTACTAATGTCTTATTTTGGTAAATAAAATTAAATTTAGAAATACATTTAGTGTTACCATGGATATTTAAGCCCTCACATAATGATAGAGGTACTTCCAAAAAAAAAAAAAAAAAAAAAAAAAAAAAATCGTACCTAAAGTTTTTAAATTCGTATTTAAAAATATTCAAATAAAAAATCTTTAAAGTATTTTATTTTAAATTGATTTTAATTTAAAATTGCCATAGACAAATTTAATATTCCAACTTTTTAAGAAAAATGAGTTAAAAGCTTAACCAACAATCAGTCATCATCTCCAGGATACAAAAGAACTTCAAAACAATGAAAAACCACCTTATGAGATGTAACATTTCAAAATAAACCACCTTCCATGGTGCAGATGACTAGGATCAAAGTGTATGTCTGTTCTAAGCTGTCCTTTTCAGAGCTCTAGCCAAAGCTGTCCAGCTAACGGGCAATCATCATCTCCAGCTCACCACATGAACATGCAGGTATTTTTTTTTAACTAGTCCACTGTAATAAATTGTTTTTCAGTAACTCAAAAACTGTCCTGTCCTCAATCTTTTCTTGCCATATTTATTATAACGTTTCAGCCGTTATGCAATCCGGTCTTCTTCAGGTGGTTGGAATGTCAAACTGAACCATTTATTTCGCTCACTGGGGTAGACTGTTCTAGTTCCATGTGCCATGTTTAATGGATGTCAATTATCAGTTATCTCCTGTTAATTTCCCTCTGAAAAAAGAATATTGCCTTAATTGGGAGTTAACTCACATCCTGTCACTGGTTAGATCCAGTGACAGAACCCAAAGAGTGTGAGTTCAATATCTGATTAAGGCAGTGGAGAACTTGGAGAGATGAATTAACAGGAGATAACTGACACCCATTAGACATGGCATGTGGAACTAGAACAGTCTACCCCAGTGAGTGAAACAAAGGGTTCCGTTTGACATTCCAACCACCTGAAGAAGGCTGGAGAATACAACGGCCGAAACGTTATAATGAATATGGCAACAAAGATAAAGGACAATAGTCCGAATAATGTAAATAATGTACATAATACCTCATCTCAGAAATATAGATAGTTCACTGTAACCTTATTTTTGTTGATGTATTTTCTTTAACAAAAATAAACTTAGCAACATATTTTTTTACTCAGGTCATTGTTTTGCTTGTTGTTGTCTTCCGTCATTCAACATTTGTTTGAGAGCCAATATACCACCTGCAACAAATCTGTTGGCACAAACTAATTCTCTTTATTAAAAAAAACTTTGAAAAAAATAAACTATACTTTTCTGAAACTTCATTTGAGGAAGATTAGCTTATTTAAAGTTTAATTAATCTGAATTGGAACAAATATTACTTTTAGTTTAAGTATTGCAAGAAAATGTTTTCTTTTTTTCCACAAAGAGGATGTGTTTTTCTGACATATTGAGTGACTTATTGAAAGCCTGGTGTTTGAGAAATGTAAGTGTTTATTCTCACTGTACTTGGTTTTGTTATAATTTTGATAGCTGAATTAGTCACTTCATCAATCTTTTTTCCATAACACTATTATTGTTGTTAGTGACCAACATCTGATTCATATCTGTGTTACACTTGTATATACTTGATTATACTGATGAGTAGCTTTCTACTATCTTGTAAGTGACTTTGTATCTCAAATGATACTTAAATGCCAAATCTATGAGTTCTTGATACTATAATACTTTTATTTACTATATACTTTGGTCTATGTAGTAAAATGGTAGGAGTACAACATTAGCTATGATAGTAGTAGGGTAGTATCAATCTTACTATCTAACAAGATTTTGTTGTTCAATAATTTTATTGCATTATTTAGTTGAATAAAAGAAAAAAGTATTGTCAATTCTGTTTATTCTTACCTAAAGCACCATTCAAATTCTGGAAAATCAGAGATTTTGTGTCCAAGCGAATATCCCATTTCAACTAGAAATAAAAAAGTACAAATAAGACTTATTAGAATAGGTAAAAGTTTTATAAAAAGCTTTGTGAATATCTGAAGATTAATGTGAGGAAATTTCAAGAATCCCATTTTCACTGAGTGGCAATGTTTCAAAAAAGTCTACATGTGTCACTAAACAGGACAATGTATTTATCATCCAGTGCATGCAAAAGAAAACATAAGTGACATTATAATAAGCATAAATTTATTAAACTACCAACAGAAACACTTAACATCTGTCTACATTTTTGATATTGTATTGTAACTATTTACACGATTTACATTGTTTGAACGGTTGTCTTCATCTTTATTGTCACATTCACAATGTTTCTGCCATTGTACACTCCGGTTTTCTCCAGATGATAATTATCAGAATTTCAAACCAAACCCAGTATATTCAAACTGTATGCTGACATTTCTAAAGATTGGCTCGATGACGTAAGTGTAGATGCTCTTCTCAGGTTTATTTCCTGAAATGGACTAGCATACAACATTCACATTCCTGGGTTGTTCAGTAGAGGAAATGGAACAGATTCTCACTAACTTTTTTTTCTTTTTTTAACCATTTCAGCCCCAGCAAGGCAATAGAAACATTAAGATGCAAGGGCTTACTCAGTGTTAGAGAATATGAGAAAAAGATATGAATAAATGAATAAACTGATCTTTTTAATCTATTAATGATCACTAATCTCAGTATATTTAAGAAAGATTAATCTGGATTTAAAGCTCAAAAATAAACTTTAAAGAAATACTTACACGGAGTGCCTTGTCCAAGAATATTTTCGTAAAATAAAGCTGGTCATCATCCCTGTTGTCAACCTTTCTGTGGTTGAGTATTTCAACAATATCTTTGGCTACTCCGATGTAACCTACAAAAGACAAAACAAAGCAAGATGAGTAAGTATTAATTTTAGAAACACTAACATTTTTTTTTTTTTTTTTTTTACACTTTTTTAAAGTAGAATGTCAACTGCATTTTTAACTGCTATATCAATTGCGAATTCAGAAAAACAATAGCTAATCTATTATAAAATTGGAGATTTTTTTTTTGCTTGCATGCATTTTCTGGTCAGCCAAATAGATGGAGCTTGGAGATTGAAAATTAGTCTATAAAAGTTGACAATGATGAACAATGGAATAAGTGGCACTGACCTGAAGGCCAATTTATGGTTAAAACTGCTATTTCTGCAAAAAGAGACATCTTTTTTTATGTGTTCTTGTCCTAAACTTAAAGCACCCAAATTGTAAGCATTTATATAAACTAGTTTTAAAAAACAACCTAAACAATTAAACATTTATTTACTACACAAAAGACTAAATTATAAAAATGAAATTTTTATATTTGAGCTTAACAACTTAAACAAAATTTGGCAATAACAATCATAAATATGAATGCTGGTCATTATTTTAAGAAGTAAGTGGGTACAAATAAAAAGACTTGAAATTGACAACTTTTTCCATGTCACTGAAGCAAACATTAAACACTTCTATCTTCCCTTCTTTCTTTCATTTTCTTACTGAAACCAAGTAGCGTCTTTGATATGTCTTGTCTTTTCATATGTTCAAAATGGAATAATAAATTATTTATGAAATGTTAACAGGAGACATTAAATACTTGTCTTTCTTTTTTTCACTAAAACCAAGTAGGTTTTTTGATATGTCTTTTATCTTTCCACATGATCAAAACAGAATAGTCCATTATTTATAGGTACTAGCAGAGCGTAACGGTTGTGCAAACTAATGAAGTGAGGGAGGGACAAGCACAGCTATTATATATTTACATTGTTTGGACTATCATCCACATCTTTGTTGCCATATTTATCACAACGTTTTGACCGTTGTACGCTCCAGCCTTCTTCAGGTGGTTGTAATGTCAAACTGAACCTTTAAACATTATGAAAACTAGTATGTCAAGACTTGATAGTCCATTCCAATATGGTACTCTTAAAAAGATCCATGTTTGTTATCTATATAATACTAAAACTTTAATCTTGTACGTGTGTGTGTGTTCACAGCTTAAACAATACATAGGTACCTCCATGAGATCACTAGAAAAAGAGCATAGCATGATGAAAAAGATGCCAAACTTGACGAAAACAAAATTTTATCGTCTAAATGTTTATGTTATTATAAAGAGGAAAGACCAAAGTTTATTTTAATTATTTTTAAAAAATTTTTCCTTCTTTTTAGAACATCCTAAATTTTGATTAAAAAAAAAAAACCTTGTTTCTCTTTGTATCACCGGAACTAGTAAAATAACATATACAATTTTTAGCACGTTTTTTTTTGTATGATACACATTAATTTGGAAAATCTTGCAAAAATAAAAATAATTGTCGGATGTTAATGAAACTTTCAGAAACTATTCACAGATGATCAAAATTATTATAAATATGTTTTTTCTTTTATTAAAGTCATGTCAGAAATATTTTTTTATATTTATTATCCCCCCCCATAACTAATTTTATGAAAACGCTAGAAATTCGATCAAGTCCATTTTAGTGATTCCAATAGTTAAAAGCACAAGGCTTTGAGGAATGCAAATCATGCTTTTTTGGTTTTTAATTAGACCCCTAAAACTCAATAAACAAAGATATTATTTAATTTCAAATGCTTTTATTTGCTTTTAGCTGTTTTTACAAATATGGACAATGTTTTCTGAAAGCAAAAAAATTTTTCGATGAAAAATGAATTTTTAATACAATTATTTGTTATTTCTTTAATTACAATAGATTTTTACATTTAAGTTGTTAAAATATTATAAAATTAGTTAAAAGTCGCATCCGCTTTCATAAGTGTCCTTATGAGATAAATTTTTTTTTTTAGCACGTTGTAAATTGTATCGTTTTGACTAATCAGATGATCCACAGTAATTAAGAAATGTACTTTTGTTTTTATAATCGGGCTGTAATTATAACATACGAAAGACCAACCAGAATACCAATCAAGTTGCGTTGAGTTAAGCATTGTTCTTCGCCGTTAAGGCCTTTACTTTTGTGAAACGTGTGGAGAAGTTAATTTAATTTTTCAATTTCAACTGAGAAGTGTACCTACAAGTATCTATCATCTTATGAAATTTATATGATCTTATTTTTATATTAATCTCAGTTATAACATTTTTCCATAAATGAAATATCAAAATTAATAATAAAATGAATGGAAATACAAATAATACAGTAAAATGTAGTAAATATACATAAAATTATAATATTTTATGTACACTTCTGATAAAATTTCATAAGAAAGGTACCTATAAATTAATTAGATACCTTATGAAATTTAATCCCTCTCTTAACAGTCTTATTTTAATTTCTTTGTAATATATTTTCCATAAAGCATCATAAATGTAAAGGTGAAAGCTAAGTACAAAAAAAAAAAAAAATTAGAGCGCTGAAAGTTTTCCTTAAAAATAATGAGGTAAATAATTTGTTCACTTAAATCTAAATAACTTCACTTCTCTCCTTCCTCTCTCGTGCTAGGAACGATTAAAAAAACGTAAAAAATACCAAAAAAATACTTTGATCTTTCCTCTTAATAATAACAAACATTTAGACGATAAAATTTTGTTTTCATTAAGTTTGGCATCTTTTTCATCATGCTATGCTCTTTTTTAGCAATCTCGTGGAGGTACCTAACAATACATAATACACCAATCAATTTAGGAGCATATTGTACCTTGAACCCCTGCTAAATGCAGTGTGAAATTTCATTAAAATTTGACAAGTGGTTCTTGAACTAGGGCCATTTTTCTTTTGTTTTGCAGCATTTTTAATAGGAAATTTAGTATTTGTTTTCAATACAAATTCTTATATCAATCCCTGTGTATAAACAAACACTTGCATATTATATTCCAACAAGTGTGTGTGAAAAATAATAAAACATTCATAATACATAAGATTATTAAATAAATTTAAATATACATAACACAGCATATATTCATACAATTCACTCCACTAGAACTTTTATTTTATAAACAACTACTTGAAAGGTGAAGAGGTTTTATTTGCATCATGTGACTTGATGGTAAATAAATAGATGCATGCTGGTTTGCTGCCATTACATATTTTGAAAACGTGTAATTAATAAAAAAATTGATAATATATTTACCTGATCCTTTTGTATCATGAACTGATTTTAAAAAGGAACCCAATGGGTTTAAGGATGGTCAAATTAGAATTAAAATGAGATAATTTAATTCAAAGTGTGGTAGAAATACCTCTCACATTTGAAACTGCCACCTGTGTGGTGCTAATGAACTTAGGCAAGTAGCAATGTTGTCTTCATCTAGCTAATGCATTATTATATTTTCCAAATACATCAGTTACCATCATGTCTTGGACTGGTGTACACTGTTTGCTGTTGAAACTTTTTTTTTTTTAAGACTGGTGAATCTGTAATTGCAACACAAAGAGCTTTTCGTGCTCATTTCTGGTTACGACGGAATGGTGCTGTTTTGGATAGAAAATCAAAAAGCACCTGGAAAACTTTAGAAATCATTTTCCATCGTGTATGGCAAATAGAAGTCACAATTTAGAAGGTGTCATTTTTAAAACCAAATGAATAAAAACTGCAGCCCTTTCTTTAAACAACAGTGAAATAAATTTTTTAATGGCAGTTACTTTGGTCTTTTTGTCAACCTGTCAAATGTGGAAGCATTTCTGTTACACCCTGTACTTTCAAACAAATGGCTTTTATTTCATTTTTTTCTTTTAACGTCATTTCAAGAAATTTTAACAACGCAATTTTGTGATAAATGTGTACAATTCATTTATCCTCACCTCCAGAATTCAGGAATCTTTTTTCAGTGGCACCAACTGTTGGATATTCTTTCTGAAGAAATTAAAAGAATAAATTCAGTCATTTCATACATGAATCATAAATATAATCATTAAGTGGTTTGTTTTATTTTATGGCATATCAACATCAATGGGTTATTTAATGTTGACAAGATTTTTATTGCTAATTTTTTTTTTCCCCCCAAAAAGATGTATTGCTGGTATTAAAACCTATTTTTACACTTTCATAATGTTTTGACCTCAGTTTGGTGTTAACTATTTACCCATAGCTGGGACCCTAACAGGTGCTACCACCCTGGATCAAGATGAACCTGGGAACATCAGCAATTAAGAGATGGTTCCACGCTACTCAAAACCTCCTGATCAGTGGCTTTGCTGCCAGATGTAGTTTATCATCATACCCAGGATGCCTCATTGGCGGGGGTAGGTACCCCTTTGCATAGGTACAGTTGGCATATTCTTAAGCCCCATCCAACAGGGTACTGATCATTAAGGAAAGGATCTATGGAAGATTTCATAATGTACTGTATGTAAATTCAGGTTAAAAAAAAAATTCATATATTTGAGAGTGTGAGAGAGAAAAGCAATTTATTATTTATCATATAAAATGTAATCCTCTATTACATATTTTTAAATGTCAACAGGAAGTGTGAAATTTTCAAGTGTTGAACTTTTAGGCATCATGAATTGCCTGTTCAAAAAGAAAACTTAAAACAAAAAAAAATTCTATGAGTGTATGATGCAAACACTGGGTGATAATTGCCCATCATATGCAATTGTGAAAAAGTAGATTTTTACAACATGGTCTGAAAGACCTTCAATGGTGTGAAGACCAGAAATTGTTGATAATGTTCATAATTTTGGCTAGTTGACAAATCCTAGACAAAAAAATTGCTGAGACACAAAATCCCAGGAATATGTTAGGTTTACAACTCAGAGGCTATCAGTCAAATGGATTCTAAGATGCTTGAATGCTTGCCAGAAATGATAGCAAGTGAACACTTCAACAAAGTTTAACCTTCATGCACACAAAAAGATGGTGTGTCAAGAGGATGATTATTACCTTGACATCTATTACTGTATAGACTTTTGACTCTCAACAATGTTTATTATAAAAATAAGAGAACCAAATACAATGTGCTAATTATTATTTACCATTTATAAAGAGATATATTTGAAAATTTACTCAAAAATTTATAAAAAACAATATGTAAGCGGAAGAGATTCTCTCAACCTATTTTAGTGAATTGATGTGGCAAATGAAAAAAATGGTCAGAAAATTCATATTTTCAAAATTTATCATTACAGTTATTCTGTATTTATTCAAATTTTCTTGGTTAGACATTTCTATAAATTTATAAATAAATAAAAAAAATTCTTTTCATATCTATTTCCTTATAAATTGGTAACTAATAAATATTTTATTATAGTTGGTTCACATATTTTTATAATCTTGTAAATATAAAATTATTCTTATAACTAAGCAATCCAATAACTAAATAGTGATTCAATTCTGAAGAACAAATAAAATGGATAAATCCATTTTCATATGTTTGGATAAAATTCTAATCATTGCTTTTTAAAACAAACAGAGCAAGTTAAAAATGCAAACAGTATTCTTTTGTGGGCACAACAGTTAGGAAAAAAA